AACTACTGAATTTATTAGCTTAAAGCGGGACGAAACCCACAGTGCAAAATATAAAGCACTCAGGAAATAGTAGGAGAGATTCCTCTCAGGACAACAAGCAACATATACAATGACAAATGACAGAGGGAGTATATATACAGTGATAGAGTGGGGATTGGAACCAGGTGTGTGTAATGATGACGAGACAAGTCCGGGGTTGATGAGTGAAGGGCGTTTGCCAGCAGCAGGTTCGGCAGCAGCTAGATGGCTGGCGACGCCGAACGCCTGAGCTGGACAGGAGGGGGAGCCAAAGCAAAGGCTGGTGTGACAATAACACCCAGCATATAGATATATATAACACCCAGCATATAGATATATACAACACCCAGCAGCATATATATATGCCAAGAGTGTGCAAAGCTGTCATCAAGGCAAATGGTGGCTATTTGAAGAATATCAAATATCAAATATATTTTTGGTTACTACATGATTCCATATGTGTTATTTCATAGTTTTGATGTCTTCACTATTATTCTACAATGTACAAAATAGTACAAATAAAGAAAAACCCTTGAATGAGTAGGTGTGTCCAAACTTTTGACTGGTAGTGTATATAACACCAATAATATAGATATATTACAGATACTGTATATCAAATAAGCCTAGGTGATGAAAGATAGGTGACATAATTTAATAGCACAGCTTAACACATCAAATAAAAATTCAGAAGCTGTTTAGAAGTGTTAATGGAGTTGAGAATAAGGTCATTGACAGCTGCCTGTCTACTAAACAATCGTTAGAAGAGACAGTCCGGCTCACCAGCTTTCACTGGGTTGTTAAGAGCACAGCAACAAACCAAAAACTGTTTAGCGTTACAAACTGGCACCTGAACAAGTCTGGAAACTGGAACTGTGGAGAATAATGGGCAGTGGATGCCCAACCTCAGCCATGCGGCAGGTGTATCAGGTGTTATGAACAGAAAGACTATCAAAAATTCACTAGTTATTGTAACACTCTGGCTCCAGGGACTCTGATTGTTGAGCCAGGGTTGTTATTTTCTTTTAGGGTGTCTTTTGTTTTGGTGTTGTATTTCTAGGTTTGCCTTTCTGTTGGTTGTATTTCTAGGTTTGTCTATGACTCCCAATCGGAGGTAACGAGTGTCAGCTGTTCGGCTCGTTATCTCTGATTGGGAGCCATATTTATTCTGAATGTTTTCCTGTGGGGTTTGTGGGTTTTTGTTTCCGTTACGGTGTATGCACCGTGGAACTTCATGATCGTGGTTTATTGTTTTGTCGTGCTTTAACTTAATAAAGTCTACGATGTTCACTCAACACGCTGCGCGTTGGTCTGCTCCTTCACACGATCGTGACAGAAAAACCCACCAAAGAAAGACCAAGCAGCGTGTCCAGGAGCAAGGTGACTGGACATGGGAGGAGGCGCCAGGCAAAGAGATGGAGAGGCTGGCGATGGCCCAGGTGGGCACATCGTGGTCCTGGGAGGACATGCTCGGAGGCAAGGGACCTTGGGGAAGGATCAAGGCCCTGGCGAGAGAGGAGCATCGGCGGCAGCAGGTTCATCGTCAGAGGGTCGTGTGTCAACCCCAGAAAATTTTTAGGGGGGGGCACACGGCATGGACGACGGGGCTGACGGAGGAGAAAAGGGGGAGTATCCAGGAGGCCACCAGGCCAGGGGTACACCGCCCTGTACGTCCTGTGCTGATGCCTCACACAGAGTGTGTGAAGGTAGGCATTCAGCCAGGACGGGTGGTGTCCGCTGTTCGCTCCAGGCCTCCTATCCGTCTCCACAGCCCGGTCCGGCCTGTTCCTGCCACCCGCACCAAGACTACGGTGCGCGTCGCCAGCCCGACCCGGCCTGCTCCTGCCACCCGCACCAAGACTACGGTGCGCGTCGCCAGCCCGACCCGGCCTGCTCCTGCCACCCGCACCAAGACTACGGTGCGCGTCGCCAGCCCGGTCCGGCCTGTTCCGGCCACCCGCACCAAGACTACGGTGCGCGTCGCCAGCCCGACCCGGCCTGCTCCTGCCACCCGCACCAAGACTACGGTGCGCGTCGCCAACCCGGTCCGGCCTGTTCCGGCCACCCGCACCAAGACTACGGTGCGCGTCGCCAACCCGACCCGGCCTGTTCCGGCCACCCGCACTAAGTCTACGGTGCGCCTCAGACGGCCAGAGTCTGCCGTCTGCCCAACGGGGCCTGAACTGTCCGTCTGCCCAACGCCGTCTGAACTGCCTGTCGGCCCAACGCCGTCTGAACTGTCCGTCTGCCCAACGCCGTCTGAACTACCCGTCTGTACAGAGCCTACAAAGCCGCCCGTCTGCCATGAGCCTTCAGAGCCGTCCGCCAGATCGGAGCCGCTAGAGCTCTCCGCCAGACAGGATCAGCCAGAGCCATCCGCCAGACAGGATCAGCCAGAGCCTTCCGCCAGACAGGATAAGCCAGAGCATTCCGCCAGACAGGATCAGCCAGAGCCTTCTGTCAGACAGGATCAGCCAGAGCCTTCCGCCAGACAGGAGCAGCCAGAGCCTTCCGTCAGACCGGATCAGCCAGAGCCTTCCGCCAGACGGGATCAGCCAGAGCCTTCCGCCTGCCATGAGCAGCCAGATCCGTCAGCCAGCCATGAGCAGCAGGATCCGCCAGAGCCAGCCAGCCAGGATCCGCCATTCAGTTCGGAGCTGCCCCTCAGTCCGGTGCTGCCACTTAGTCAGGTACTGTTCCTTAGCCTGGTGCTGGTCCTTAGCCCGGTGCTGTCCCTTAGCCCGGTACTGCCCCTTAGTCCGGTACTGCCCCTTAGTCCGGTGCTGCCCCTTAGTCCGGTGCCGCCCCTTAACCCTGTGGGGTGTAGTTGGGGGGGGGTAATGTGTAGGAGGCTAAGTAAGTGGGTAATGACTATGGTGGGGTGGGGACCACGACCTGGGCCAGAGCCGCCACCTGGACAGACGCCCACCCAGACCCTCCCCTAGACGGTATGCTGGTGCGCCCGGAGTGCGCACCTTTAGGGGGGGGTACTGTAACACTCTGGCTCCAGGGACTCTGATTGTTGAGCCAGGGTTGTTATTTTCTTTTAGGGTGTCTTTTGTTTTGGTGTTGTATTTCTAGGTTTGCCTTTCTGTTGGTTGTATTTCTAGGTTTGTCTATGACTCCCAATCGGAGGTAACGAGTGTCAGCTGTTCGGCTCGTTATCTCTGATTGGGAGCCATATTTATTCTGAATGTTTTCCTGTGGGGTTTGTGGGTTTTTGTTTCCGTTACGGTGTATGCACCGTGGAACTTCATGATCGTGGTTTATTGTTTTGTCGTGCTTTAACTTAATAAAGTCTACGATGTTCACTCAACACGCTGCGCGTTGGTCTGCTCCTTCACACGATCGTGACAGTTATTTGTGATGTCCAGTATGAGCGTGTATATGAATGTTTATGGAAAATATTGCAGTGTCCTAAGTCATTGAGTCCTCTTTCATTTTTAAACAGTAGGTCATTAAATTTATAAATGTGACTTCCTCTCTTAGTGATGCTGAAGATACTGTAATTAACATATTAAAAGTTGAAATTATAATGCTGCAAAACATGTAATTGTTCCCTCTAATTTGTTCACCCATTGTAATTAGAAAGTCAGATAAATGTTTATAGGTTAGGTGCCTCAGTGGCATACAGTAGATAAAAAAGCTAATTGGCGAAGGAATGATGTCAGTTATGGCTACGTTAATAGAAGCTGCAACGTGTCCTCTCACTGAGAGTGCAATGAGAGGGCTTTGTAATACTGCCACATTTTCTACTCTCCTTCTTCTCTAGCATCATCATACACATGGGAGGGGCAACCCAGATGTGAAGAAGCTGCATTATGCATGTCATGTAATTACAGTGCATTCAATGCCAGAAGTGATTGTTGTGCTGGATCATATGTGCCATTCAATTGTCTTTGTGAAATTTGTGTCAACCAAACACTGTGACGAGTGAAACAAAATCATAATGAACAAAATAAATAAAAACCGAATGTTGGATGCACGTTTTAGGGATGGAATTGTAATTGAAGTTTTGTTTTGATACAAAACGTCAGTCACTGTGTTGGTGTCAAGTAAAAACTTGAATGAGAGTGTAGCCAATACAAGTAATACATTCATTTCAAAATCATCTCAACAACTATAAACTCATGGCACATATCTGTTCAAAGCTCATTAACTCAAGACTATCTTAGCACAATGCTAGGTCATCTATATTCACAACTAGGCCACTCTATGCCACGTTTCCAATTATTGTCAAGGGTGATTTATTTCCAAACCATTCCGATAGCATCCAACTGTTCGACCCAATAATGTAAACATTATGGCTATCATTGCTATCAATCAATAAAACTACATGAGACCCCATAAGAGATGTATCAACTGAAGGCTCCCTTAGCCAGCCTTGAATAGCATCTATATGTGTAAACAATTAACATGTGTAAAACTGTGCGTAAACGTCAATCAAAGCTTAATTTCTGAAGCAATTTCCATGATCTGTCGCAATCAGATAATTATTCAGATCCTTGCATTCTGATATTCCATAACACAAAGGTGTCTGCTGGAAAACATCCCCATGCAACAACATCATCTGAAGTTGCACAACCTAAACCCAGCTGTTACTATTCGACATCAAATAAAATCCTTAGCATACAACGCAATTGAAATAATGAAACACTTGATTGCATGTTCCAAAATGTTGATTTAAAAACGTTGCTGACACGTTGCCTCAAGTTGAATAGTCTACTATCAAGATTTAAATAGGATTGAATATAGTTCGTTTGAATATGCAAAGTAAATCCATGGAGTCGGAAGATGACAGCCCCCGTGTTTGAATGTCCACGTTTTAACCAAAATGTGAACTCGTTTGACATGTTTTAAACCCCCCCCCCCCCCCCCCCCCCCGAACTGTGAAGGAGGGACTCCTTTCTCTTGAACATGTACAACTTATCTTCTGCTCCCAAGACCTCCCCAAAAGTTTGGCATATAAAAGCCCAGTTTACTCATTTGTTTAGGCAGTAGGGAGGTTCTGTCAGGGTCTGGATTGGAGTAACAAAGAACCGGACCCTACGTTTTATGGTTGGAGTCTGAGGAGTAAAACCAGGATTTCCCTTGCCTCAAAGAGTCTACATGTCTAATATTTAGACATGTTCAGCTTTGTGGATATTCGGTTAGCGCTGTTGTTAAGCGCAACAGTGCTATTGGCGAGAGGTCAAGGAGAGGACGATAGTAAGTATCACTTTATATGAGATTATGGGACAGGGACGCTCGCAGGAACAATTGGATAGCGCGTAAAAGGATGCTGCGCACTTTTCTTTTGTGTTTGGGATGTTGCAAATGATGCTTACCTACCCTGTGGGACACTTGGCGTTAAATTGTCAGCAAACATCATCAAAGGGGTTATACCATTGCTTTTGGAGCTCCGAAGCTCGATGCATTGAACAAGGATTTTATATTTTTCTGCTTCCATGGCTGAGTGTTCCCTGGCGTGCAGACACATGTTTAGTGCGCCCCTGCCCTCGCTGTTCACGCGCTATTTATTCCTTGTCCTCCGGCAAGGGGAATTCTAGCTGCTGCAAAAGCTTGGATGCGCAATGATGAGATGATGTTCAGATGGAATTGGAATAAACTACAAATATACAAACCACTTGAAAAAAGTATATTACTGATGTTAATTAAATAAAAATAAGCAATAGGGACATATTTTTCTGAAAAAAAGCTCAGAACAAAAGTTCATTTGCAACTGAGGCCTATCACCAAAATCTAGGAATTATATTATGTACAAACGCAACAACGAATTATACCTGGACTGGAACGAGCTCCTGAAAGATTAGAAAATAGGAAAGCCACGCCTTATTCTTCATTAACCTACTAGTATAAATTGAAGTTTGTAACCTATTTAATAAACTCCATGGAATCTGCAAGAATACGTTTTTGCTTTAGAATAACTTTAAACCAGGGAGGCAAATTAAGTGAAAATAGTTTAACTATGACGTCTTCAGTGGAATTGTCTAGACATCAATTAATCAGATTGGATATAGCTAGGGGCGTGTGGCTCGTAGGATAATGTCATAGTACAGCCTGGGAGCGCCGCCATGTGGTACATATTAGAAATGTAGGCCTCATCACTAGAATTACAACACAAGGATAGGGCCCCACCCGAACCCCAGCCAGAGGGCCAAGCCTACAGGCCTGTCTGATGTTGACTATAGCATCACTTGTAGTTCAAAGTTCAAACAGAGGCCTTGGTAATTGCCATTACACATTATGCATGCCACAAAGCATTTGGAAACCTTTTTATGTTTCAAGGGGCCATTTTCAGCGACCACGTTACAACTTCCATTAGACATCCCCATGGCCTTTGGCCAATGCTGGTCTACTGCAAAGGCAACAACTAGTGCAATGCAATAGGACATTCAGTTAATTTATGCTTATAGTAGGGAGTAGTAGGGTCTCTGTGGGCTTTTTCTGAAGAATTCTCTAAATAGGCCTATATCTAAGAAATATCTAAAGGATTCTCAAGTTGGGCCTTGAGCCTTTGGGATCTTGGTAGGTCTAGGCATAGCCAAACTTAGACCTATATCATTAATTGAGGCCTCCTAGAATCCTACATTAGGCCTACCTGTGGCAGGACTTGAGTTTCACAGTCATGACTGGTTTGCTATTTTCTAGTTTTTCCTGTATTGTGTCATTTTTATTAAAAGAGGTTTGGGTTTAGCCTACACGTTAGAAGTAGTAGGCCTAAACAGTTTGTTCTGTTTAAATTATGTCTCATTTTTATCAGACCTACAGACAGTATAGGTACGTGCATTGTTTTACTTCTGAAATGATAACTTCTGATAGGTATATTTATTTGCCATGTGACTTACCTTGCGTCCCCAAAACTCTCCATCTTCCCAGGTGGATTCGGCAGCTGCTCGTTGGATGGCCAACAGTACAACGATAAGGATGTGTGGAAACCAGAACCCTGCCAGATCTGCGTCTGCGACAGCGGAACCGTTATGTGCGACGAAGTGATTTGTGAGGACACAACCGACTGCGCCGACCCTATCATCCCCGACGGCGAATGCTGTCCTATCTGCCCCGACGACTCAGAGGAGGGTAGCCTACCTTTGATGATCTTATACACCTGTGCTTTGTGGTAGCGTTCTGGCGCTGCCTAGTGGTACAAGTTGGCTGCAACGTTTCCAGTTATAGACAGAGGGGGACAAACCCCAAAAGGAACCGAGCAGGCCTTAGGCTACACCGGCCAGACTGGGCTGGCCATTACTTAGAATGCACTGTGGATACCTTATTGAGGATGAGCAGCAAATAATCAAATTGGATATTACTATTACTTCTCTTTTCCCTTCCACCTTCTTAATGAATGGATGAACCCTGTTCAATGCTGGAGATGTGGATGTGTAGATTCATTTTACACTCACATCCCCTCATATATAGGCCTAATCAGCATTAGGTCTGTGATGCCTTCACACTGCTGTATGGGGTCCAGCCATCATGCATTCATTGTCAACACAGTATTATTGTACATTGAGAATAATTGTTTTACATGATACTACTAGTACACAGTTCATGTTTGATATGAGTTTACAAGGGCTAATAATAATATTATATTTTCCTCTCAATTGATTTCATAGGTCCCACGGTGGTGCCTAAGGTATTTATGCACATTTTACCCCTAGGATTGATTTATGTCGGTGAAAATGTATTAGTGCATGACTGTTTTCATATTAACCTGCTTTTAGGCGTCATGAATGAGCCCATTATGTTCGTTATGAGTAATATTTGTTGAAATGTGCGGTGCATGCTATTCATTTCAGTTCATTCAAACTGTGATACCTTTCGAATGTGCTGTAGGCTTACCATTTGACCCTCCACCAAACAAACGTCCAATGCCTTTATTTGTGCTAGACCTAATGTACATGTGTACTGCCTGCGGTAGACCTACACCTCTCTCAGTAGACCTACACCTCTCTCAGTAGACCTACACCTCTCTAATTGTGAAAGCAGCACTGCAGCACACCTGATTCTCCTTCTCTTGTTGTTCTCCCTCAGGGACCACAGGGAGAAGTTGGCCCCAAGGGTGATGATGTAAGTTTCAAGTTAAATTTAGGACATAAGTTTAACTTGAAGTTCAACTTGAAGTTGTTTCTTTTCTGGAATTCAATTGTATAGCTAGCTACGTGTCTATGGTTTAGTTGTTCCATGAGAGGCCTAAGGAAAAACATATTCTGGTATGGTGGATTAGTGTCATTGATTATTCTGACAAATCATGGCTTTGCGGAAGTGGTGCTTGAAGTGGAGGTTGGGATTTGAACTGTAAAGGATTGTAAACACAGCTGGACATTTAGGAAGGGGAGGAGCTGGAGATGGTCTTTGGCTTATCTGCTGCTTCTGTTCAGTACAGAATCAAATGGAGTAACTAACCAGTGAGATTAGGTTCTGAGTTTACACACCTATTGAACACACCTATAGAAAATACCTATGGAACACACCTATTGAACACACCTCATGAACACACCTATTGAACTCACCTATTGAACACACCTATTGAACACACCTATTGAACACACCTATTGAACACACCTATTTAACTCACCTATTGAACACACCTATTGAACACACCTATTGAACACACCTATTGAACACAGCAAAGCTATTTTGCAGTATAGTTTTTACAGTACAATGTTATTTTACTGTTTAACTTACACCAGTCTTTAAAAGTAAAGGTTGACATTAGTTTCTAGGGACTGAAATCGATTTTCCAAATATTCAACATATTGACCTATTGACCTTTGGTTAAACCTTTACCTTTGCAACACAGGTCAAATGTATGGATCATTGTTCCATGTAGGTTTGTAGCCCATGCTACAGCCTCTACTCTTTGAGTTGCCTAATCAGCACTTGCATACCAAGCAGTGTTAATGATTTGAGACATTTTAAAGAAAGAAATCAACAAAGGCAGAATGTGATTCACGACATGCACTACTTCACCATTTCTAGGTCTATACCAATTCAAATATCATTTATCTTATGAAGTGCATTAGAAGATAGTCTTGATTTGTCTAATGCAGTGCACACAGAACTGTATTTATCTAAGTAACTCAGCCATGGGTTGTTGAAGGCTGAGCTGTTACTGAGTAGCTGTCTGTCCATCTCTCTGTCTCTGTTACTGACTAGCTGTCTGTCTGTCTGTACATCTCTCCAGGGTCCTGAGGGTGTTCCCGGTAACGATGGCATGGACGGTCAGCCTGGCCTTCCCGGTCCCCCAGGCCCCCCTGGACCTCCTGGCCTTGGCGGCGGAGTAAGTAACCTCCATGACAAAATAATATCCACTGCCTATTTCCTGTGGATATTGTCTAGTTACTACCAGTCTTGTACCAGAGTTATTCATGTCCAGTTACTACCAGTCTTGTACCAGAGTTATTAATATCCAGTTACTACCAGTCTTGTACCAGAGTTATTAATATCCAGTTACTACCAGTCTTGTACCAGAGTTATTAATATCCAGTTACTACCAGTCTTGGACCAGAGTTATTAATATCCAGTTACTACCAGTCTTGTACCAGAGTTATTCATGTCCAGTTACTACCAGTCTTGTACCAGTTATTAATATCCAGTTACTACCAGTCTTGTACCAGAGTTATTCATGTCCAGTTACTACCAGTCTTGTACCAGAGTTATTAATATCCAGTTACTACCAGTCTTGTACCAGAGTTATTAATATCCAGTTAATGCCAGTCTTGTACCAGATTCTAATTATTAGAATCAGGTGCGCTAGATTAGAGTTGGATTGAAAACCTACAGGATGGTAGTTCTCCAGGAACAGGGTTGAAGAGCTTTGGACTAGAAAGACTTGTTAATAGTGATAATAGTAGATACTAGCCCCATTTTATGATGAATTGTTGGATGTAGCAAGCAGTTTTTTCACCCTATATGACTAAAGCTACATCCCAAATGGCACCCTGTTCCCTATATAGTGCACTACTTTTGACCAGAGCCCATTCCCTTCATAGAACACTACTTTTGGACTATGGTCCCTGGTCAAAAGTAGTGCGCTATATAGGGAATAGGGTGCCATTTGGGAGTTTGAGTTACAGACAGTGTTATTAACAGTTATTCATACATATCTTCATACTGGCCCACGGGGGGCCAGTATGAAAAATGTATGCACTCACTAATTGTAAGTCGCTCTGGATAAGAGCATCTGCAAAATGACTAAAATGTCAATTGGATCACTAAAAATAACCAATTATAAACATTACTTACAGACAGTGTTATTAACAGTTATAACCAATTATAAACATGACTTACAGACAGTGTTATTAACAGTTATAAACAATTATAAACATGACTTACAGACAGTGTTATTAACAGATATAACCAATTATAAACATGACTTACAGACAGTGTTATTAACAGTTATAACCAATTATAAACATGACTTACAGACAGTGTTATTAACAGTTATAACCAATTGTAAACATTACTTACAGACAGTGTTATTAACAGTTATAACCAATTATAAACATGACTTATAGTATATACAGTGTTATTAACAGTTATAACCAATTGTAAACATTACTTACAGTACAGACAGTGTTATTAACGGTTATAACCAATTATAAACATTACTTGCAGACAGAGTTATTAACAGTTATAACCAATTATAAACATTACTTACAGACAGTGTTATTAACAGTTATAACCAATTATAAACATTACTTACAGACAGTGTTATTAACAGTTATAACCAATTATAAACATTACTTACAGACAGTGTTATTAACAGTTATAACCAGTTATAAACGTATTTAGATGTTTTGTCATCTCTATGTTGTATGCTTTAGAAACATCCAAAGCTAACCATTTTTAGAAACCAATTGATCATGTCTTTCCTTCCCTACAGAACTTCTCTCCTCAGATGCACCATGGTTATGATGAGAAATCCAGCGGCGGCCAGGCTCAACAGGGACCAATGGTACCAATGTATTTTTTGCTTCCTCTGTGCTGTTTAATACAGAGAGGGAAGCCACATTTCCAGGCTAAATTGAATTACATTTATTTAATTTTTTCGTAAAAACATATACAGCAAGATATACATGTACATTGTATTCCCAGAGGATAGCACATAAAAGTACTAATTAAAACACTTTTTTCCAAAATGGTCCTCGCTGAGACAAACCCCTTCAGGAGGGACAGTATCATAACTATACGAAACACAGCTCATGTATGCTATTGTGGACTGCTGCAATGCAAAACTGTCTTCACGAATGGCCAACAATGGTCTATTACCAAACATCTACAAAAATAGCAGTCAGAGTTACGCAATCACATAGCCAGACCCCAGGCAGACCAGATTGGTATTGGTGTTTTTGAAGAAGATCATGGATCCTGTCGACACAGTATATTTTATACTAAGCTAGTTATTAAACATTAAGATGCTTTCAGGTTTGCAGTAGTCCTCTGGTAGTGATCGCTCACAATGATCAGCTATATATTTAATCCTTTAGATAACAATATCTCACAGAATCACTTTATCTCAATCAAAAGAGGTAAAGTACTGCTGGAAATGGATGACTTGATTCATTGGTTGTTGTGTTTTCCAACAGGGCCCAATGGGTCCCCGTGGTCTCCCTGGCCCACCAGGCAACACTGTAAGTATCCTCTCATTCATAATTTGATGTGTTGTCAACAACACCAACTTCACTCATCTCATTTTTATTTTAATCTGTCTTCAATATACCAGGTACATTCTAATGTCATCAGTTCCCTCTGACCATAATATGTATATAGGTGTGAAAATCATTCCAGTTATAATTGTTTTAAAAAAATGGCAGTAGTATATTTATGTCTTAAAAGACTACGTCTTATAGGGCCGGTTTCCCGGACGGAGATTAACACTAGTGTGGGACTACAAAGTATACTCAATGGAGAATCTCCTTTGAAAAAGCCTTTTAGTACATACAGGAATAGGATTCATTTGTTTCCTGGAAAATGTCCCATCATTTGTTATAATAATAAGTCTTATAGCTTATATACCCTGTGTCACATGGTCTGATCTGTGTTAATGTCCTCCGCCAGGGTCCGCCCGGTCATCATGGTCCCCCTGGCGAGCCCGGTGAGCCTGGCAGTGCTGTGAGTATACAAAAATTACAACTTCCTCTGCCTGTAAATATCAATTCACACACATTCTGAACGCATCACTTCCTGTCCATGACCATGTTGTAGTAGCCACCTCCCACGCCCACACACACGAACACTGACTATTCACACTCTCGTGTACATTATATTTCACTGAGCCCTGTCATTTGTGATGTATTGCAGTCAGAATAACTGTATACTATACACCAGTAACCTTTGACCTTGACACAAAGCAACACACACACACACCTCCCTTCATGCTTGTTTGTTCCCTGTAGGGTCCCATGGGTCAACGTGGTACAATGGGCCCCCCAGGCAAGAACGGAGATAATGTAAGTACTGTTTTCATGATCTCAACTTTCCTTCTATCTCATTCCATTTGTCAGATCTGTAGCTCAGAAACCCTGATCATTAGTAAAGACAGTAAACAGAACTCACCGTAGACTTCCTCTAGTTTTCCTCCTTTGCGACTTACACCATAATATTTTCCCCCACTGTAAATATTCAACATACATCATAACATTTCCCCCCACTGTATATATTCAACTTACACCATCATATTTCCCCCCACTGTATATTGACATGTTATGATTACATCATTGCATACATACTGTATTCATAATATATATATATATATATATATATATATATATATATATATATATATATATATATATATATATATATATAATATAATCATAATATATGGAATTTTATCATCACTTTTCTATGCAATTTGTTATGCCACATTATTATCACTGTTTGCCATTAGCATTGTTCACAGTGAGAGAACCTCTCTGTCTCTCCATTAACCTCGCTCTCCTCTCTCCTCTGCAGGGTGAGCCTGGCAGGTCTGGTCGCCCCGGTGAGCGTGGCTCCGCTGGCCCTCAGGTGAGTGGCCCTCTAACCCTATAGATCAAGGGTCAGATGCGCCTATCCAAACAGACCTGGTTCTGATACCAAGTATGGGTTCCAAATGGCTCCCTGTTCCCTATGCAGTGCCCTCAGGTCTCTGGTCAAAAGTAGTGCACTATATGGTGAATAGGGTGCTATTTGGGATGCAGCCCAAATATCAGTAAAGGACCTACAGATTGATCTTTAAAGTAGAGGACCTACAGGGTGGACTTTAAAGTAGAGGACCTACAGGGTGATCTTTAAAGTAGAGGACCTACAGGGTGGACTTTAAAGTAGAGGTCCTACAGGGTGGACTTTAAAGTAGAGGACCTACAGGGTGGACTTTAAAGTAGAGGACCTACAGGGTGGACTTTAAAGTAGAGGACCTACAGGGTGGACTTTAAAGTAGAGGACCTACAGGGTGGACTTTAAAGTAGAGGACCTACAAGGTGGATTTTAAAGTAGAGGACCTACAGGGTGGACTTTAAAGTAGAGGACCTACAGGTTGGACTTTAAAGTAGAGGACCTACAGGGTGGACTTTAAAGTAGAGGACCTACAGGGTGGACTTTAAAGTAGAGGACCAACAGGGTGGACTTTAAAGTAGAGGAGCTACAGGGTAGACTTTAAAGTAGAGGACCTACAGGGTGGACTTTAAAGTAGAGGACCTACAGGGTGGACTTTAAAGTAGAGGACCTACAGGGTGGACTTTAAAGTAGAGGACCTACAGGGTGGACTTTAAAGTAGAGGACCTACAGGGTGGACTTTAAAGTAGAGGACCTACAGGGTGGACTTTAAAGTTGAATTAGAACCATTCTAATAGATGAACATTAAAGTAAATAACCACTAATACAGAGTCAAGTTAGTTTCAGCACTGAAAAGACATACAGTACATGAAGAATGAAGACTGTATGGTTTATGTCTGTTATGTAGACGAGTCCACAACATTCCTTCTTCTTCTGCCCTACAGGGTGCTCGTGGAACCCCCGGAACTCCTGGCCTCCCCGGCATCAAGGGACATAGAGTGAGTAGTAGGAGGAGGGACATGAGGATGCTCCAGGGTGAAGTTTCCCCTAGGTTCAGATCTAGGATCAGCTTTCCCTCCCGAAATCCAATCCCTAACCATTAGTAGGGGAAATGTATAACTGACCCAAGAAAAGCGACTAGGGGCAACTTCACCCTAATCCCATGATGATATGACAGCCATGACACTACTACATTTCTGCATTAAACTCCTAATCGTACAGAATGACACCTAAAAATGCTCTTTGATTTCCTCCTCAGGGTTTCAATGGAATGGATGGTGCCAAGGGAGATGGTGGCCCAGCCGGCCCTAAGGTTAGAGGTCAATCTAATGATATCTATCACAATGTACGTCTATCGTTACCTGTACTGGAGAACTCATCTGTTCCCTCTGACCACAGGGAGAGGGTGGTGCCCCTGGATCCAACGGTAACCCCGGTGCTATGGTGAGTATCCTGTGCATCTGACAAATGCACTTTGATTTGAGTAATGCTCTCGTCTCAATAAACATATCAGAGGCCATTAACTCTTAGGAACTTTAAAGACATCAACCTGCCTTCCAGTAGTAGAAATTACTAAATAATGTCAGTTTTCTGAACAAACATTACGGTCCAGTAAAAGTAGCCAGCCATTGACATTGTTTAGTCATTACTGTACTCTCTAGCGTTACAGAACTCTCTCTCTTCCTCCCCCTCTTCCTCCCTCTCTTCCTCCCCCTCTGCCTCCCTCTCTTCCTCCTCTCTTCCCCCCTCTCTTCCTCTCCTCTTCCTCCCTCTCTTACTCCTCTCTTCCTCCCTCTTCCTCTTCCCAGGGTGCTCGTGGTCTTCCTGGTGAGAGAGGCCGCCCCGGACCCGCTGGCCCTTCTGTAAGGACTGCACAGCACAACCTTCACTGTTCATTTGAGAGATTGATTGATTGATTGATTGATTGATTGATTGATTGGTTGGTTGGTTGGTGATTTATTGATTGATTGATTGGTTGGTTGGTTATTGATTGATTGATTGGTTGGTTGGTGATTGATTGATTGGTTGGTGATTGGTTGATTGGTTGATTGAATTTATTGATTGAATGTAAGTATAACACATAACCACAACTATGAATAGCAGCAATACTGTAAACACTATCTAGAATGACACAGACAAGTCTGTGACTTGTTGTCATATAGTAAAAGTATTGCTGCAGTTCAATAAATAACTAAAGATGTTCACCATGCCCATGTCTGGCTTTTGGAATATTTAGTAGAGAATGGTCATAACAGTGTAAAACCTCTTCCTCTAGGGTGCTCGTGGTAATGATGGTAACTCTGGTCCTGCTGGATCCCCTGTAAGTATCTTTATTACTGGTGACTAACCCTACCTGTCGTAGCAATTCAGAGTACACCACTCAGTGCCATGTGTTAGTCCTGACTGTGAATTTAACTAAATAATTTTTATTTGATCTCTTCAGGGACCCACTGGCCCATCTGGTCCCCCTGGATTCCCCGGAGGCGCTGGAGCTAAGGTATGTCATAGCCCCCACCTCCCACCCCCTAACTCCTAACCCCAAACACCTACCCCTAAACCCCAAACCCCTACCCCTAAACCCCAAACCCCTACCCCTAAACCCCAAACCCCTACCCCTAAACCCTAAACCCCAAACCCCTACCCCTAAACCCCAAACCCCTACCCCTAACCCTAATCCATTTGTTGCTTCCCAATTATCTCTCAATTGGATAGCATTGGAGTCAGTTTCAGCCATATTTCTTACGCCAGTCCTTTCCTCTGAAATCCATGAAGGGAAGTGAACAAGTGCAGTCTTGGGGCAGAAGGGCAGAGAATTAGGACCCAGATTGAGAACCTGATCTGATACAGGTAGTGGCCACCTGATGGCAGATTAACACCTCGTGGAACACCGCCGTCCTGTCTCTTAACTGTAGGCTACTGTAATATACAGAGCTCTATTAGAGAGGAAACAGTGAGAGACTACTGTAATGTACAGAGCTCTATTAGAGAGGAAACAGTAAGAGACTACTGTAATGTACAGAGCTCTATTAGAGAGGAAACAGTGACACATAAAAACAAACAATGATTCATTCTCTTCCTACATTCACACGCACACGCACACGCACACGCACACACACACACACACACACACACACACACACACACACACACACACACACACACACACACACACACACACACACACACACACACACACACACACACACACACACACACACACACACACACACACACACATACACACACACACACAAAACAATAACATCAGTCTCAAATGTGAACACCCAGCACCCTCCTAATGTCCTCTCTGCTGCCCCCTTTAGGGAGAGACCGGTCCTCAGGGAGGCCGTGGCTCAGACGGACCCCAAGGATCTCGTGGAGAGCCCGGTAACCCTGGACCCGCTGGTGCTGCTGGACCCTCTGTGAGTACTGTTGTACATGGTTGCCCTTACATGCTTATATTATTATTTGTCCTGGTTGCCTATGCTTATATGTCCTTATCTTATATATGTATAGGTCCTTATCTTTATATAGGTCATTATCTTTATATAGGTCCTTATCTTTATATAGGTAATTATCCTTATATATGTGTATATGCTTATGGTTACCCTCATAGTGCACCATTTAACCCCTGACCCCTGAAGTTTACTGTAATATAATGTCCCCCCCTCTCTTCCCCTCTGTTTCCCTCTCCTTTCCTGTAACCAAACAGGGTGCCCCCGGAAGTGATGGCCAACCAGGAGGAAAGGGTGCCACTGTAAGTATGACCCTTGTGGATACATCAAACTGATGATCTATGATTGATTATGTTCAAATGAACACTGGTAATACAATACATAATATACTAATGATAATAAATGCCATTTAGCAGACGCTTCTATGCAAAGCCACTAAGACTATAGTATGTGCATGCATACTGGTTGTGGAGCATTAACGTGTGTGTTCTCTTGTCTGTCCCATAGGGTGCTGTTGGTATCTCTGGTGCTCCTGGTTTCCCAGGATCCCGTGGCCCCGCTGGACCTCCCGGAGCTGGTGGTGGCCCCGGCCCCAAGGGTAACCATGTGAGTCCCACTGTTACGATCACTATTTTGTAAATTGGTCAGATAGCATTTACTGTAAACGTTTGCAGCTCTGCTCCATTTTGTGCTGTGCTTGGACTGTTTTGATTGGTGCTGAGTATTGCTTTGTGAATTGGTACTACACAGAATTCAGTACAACACAGTAATTTAATGCATCTCTATGGGGGTATAAAAACTCTGAAACGTTTGTGGCACTGCACTCAATTTTGTGATGTGTAGTATTGACCAGGAAGTAGTGGTGAGTGTTACCTGATGTGAAGAGGAGGCTGCTGAGGGGAGGACGGCTCATAATAATGGCTGGAATAGAGCGAATGGAATGGAATCAAACCATGTGATTGATATATTTGATACCATTCCACTCATTCCACTCCAGCCATTACCACGAGCCCGACCTACCCAATTAAGGTGCCATCAACCTCTAGTGCTGATGTGATTTCTGTGTTTTCCCCTTTCAGGGTGAGCACGGAGCCCAAGGCCCCAAGGGAGAGCCCGGTGTAAAGGGAGAGCCTGTAAGTTGGACCTCCATTATATATAACCTATGGAAACATCAACTTAACCATGTCTCAAAACACTTAGGGCCGATTTCCGGGACACAGATTAAGCAAGCCCAGTTGTGGACCAAAAAGCATGTTCACTGGAGAATCCCCAATGACATAGCTTTTTTGTCCAGGATTATGCTTAATCTGCGTCTGGGAAACCGGACCACAGGTCTCTAACCCAGGTATAGACACCTGTTTCCTCTGAAGGTATTGTTAGACAGGTGAGTTTACTACAAGTCTCTAACCCAGGTATAGACACCTGTTTCCTCTGAAGGTATTGTTAGACAGGTGAGTTTACTACATGTCTCTAACCCAGGTATAGACACCTGTTTCCTCTGAAGGTATTGTTAGACAGGTGAGTTTACTACATGTCTCTAACCCAGGTATAGACACCTGTTTCCTCTGAAGGTATTGTTAGACAGGTGAGTTTACTACATGTCTCTAACCCAGGTATAGACACCTGTTTCCTCTGAAGGTATTGTTAGACAGGTGAGTTTACTACAGGTCTGGTCTCATGTCTGAACCCTCTATCCCCTCCTCCTCTTTCTCCAACCAGGGTTCCGCTGGTCCCGGTGGCCCCCCCGGCCCATCTGGGGAGGAGGGAAAGAGAGGCGCCCGTGGTGAGCCCGGTGGAGCTGGTGGTGTTGGACCCCCTGGAGAGCGTGTAAGTAACCCCCCCCCCCCCCCCCCCCCCCCCCCCCGCGACCCCTCAGCCCCATTCTTCCATGTCAGATACCCCTTCTCTGAAGTGCCCCTACTCATAGGAACTGTGTCCCTACACAGACAGATTCCTTTTAAAGTTGTGTTTTGTTATCTCCATGTGATTACAGTAAATTACGATTTCGATTTTGGAATATGAAAACCCAACAAACAACCATCAGTGCCTCAGTCACCATGTGCATACAGTAGAATACCTTGAATTCCCAGGGGACAGTGTTTGTCAGTCAAACCCTGACTTTGTGCCATGGTCCCCTGTGTAATACAGTGTGTCGGTCCTGTTTCTTCCAACAGGGTATGCCTGGTATGCGTGGTTTCCCCGGCTCTGATGGAGCTGCCGGTGGCAAGGTGAGTCTATAGTCCAATATAATAATAGTAATAATAATATTTAATAAACTGTAAACTATAAAGTCCATGTCTAAGAAACATGGCACCTGTTGTTTAGAGTAAAGCACCATGTTTGGCCATACATGAGATCAAGGAGCATTGGAAGCTTCAAAGCAGAACATTGTATTGAACCAAATTAAATTCAGCCGATAAGCAAAAACATCCTTATCCTTGAAGCTAGAATCCTTAATTGAAACAACAACAAAGCCGGCACCCCGCCTTAGTTTTGGTAAAAAGCTGAGGAATGGGCCTGGAGATATGTAACCACTCTCAGATGAATAGACAGAGCTATGGATGCAAGGACTGACCGACCATGATACCAACATTATAGATTGAACCATGTTTTGAGGCTATACAGTGTTTGTTTCCATTTACTTTGTTTACAAACATTGGAGTAAAACAAGCTTCTATTTTGGGTTCTGATGGGGAGGACAGTTAAACTAAGCTCACGAGGCATTTAGAAGTTATATTCTTCAAGAATGAATGGGTATGTATAATTAATTAATAAGTCCAAAAATGGATGTAGCAACTGCAGATTGTAACTTTAAATATGCTGACTGTATGTGTCCTGGTTGCTTGGTTACCCTCATAGAGCACTATTTAATCTCTGAGCCCTGAAGCTGACTGTAATGGTTACCTATCAAAACATGAAACAGACATCACCAATTGATCTTCCCTTGTGATAGGGTGGCCCTGGTGAGCGTGGAGCCAATGGACCAATGGGAGCCCAAGGTGCCACTGGTGAGGCTGGTCGCCCCGGGGAGCCTGGCATGCCTGGATCCAAGGTGAGTGTCACCTGTCCACCTCTCTCTCTCTCTCTCTCTCTCTCTCTCTCTCTCTCTCGTCTCGGCTCTCTATGCGCGGCGCGCCGCGCGCTCGGTCTCTGCTCGCTCTGCGGCGCTTCTATCTCGCGCGACGTCTGCGCGCGCGCGCGAGCGCGCGCGCCGCGCGCGCGCGCGCGACGCGCGCGCGCGCGCCGGGCGCGCGGGGCGCGCGGGCACGCGCGGGCGCGGCGCGCGCGCGCGCTCGCGCGGCGCGCGCGCGCGCGCGCGCTGCGCGCGCGCGCGCGCGCGCGCGCGCGCGGGCGCGCACGCACGCACGCACGCACGCACGCACGCACGCACGCACGCACGCACGCACGCACACGCGCGCGAGCGCGCGCGGGGAGCAGGCGCGCGCGCGCGGGGCGACGTCACGCACACCAACGCACGCACGCACGCACGCACGCACCACGCACGCACGCACTCACTCACGCACGTCACGCACTCAGCACGCACCACGCACGCACGCACTCACTCACAGCACTCTCGTCTCTCTCCTCTCTCTCTCCTCTCTCTCTCTCTCTCTCCTCCTCTTTCTGTTTCTAGTTTTTGATTATTATTTGTGTTCATATCATCACCCACTATAACACCCACTATAACACCCACTATAACACCCACTATAACACCTGCTATAACACCAACTATAACACCCACTGTAACATCTGCTAAAATGTGTACGTGACCAATACACTTTGATTTGATCTAATGTGTGCTCTTCTCTCCCTGCTTGCTGTAGGGTATGACTGGTAGCCCTGGCAGCCCCGGCCCCGATGGGAAAGTTGGCCCTGCTGTAAGTACTACTTCACCACAAACTCTATGCATACCTAATTACTATATTATTACGATGATATACATTACCGTTCAAAAGTTTGGGGTCACTTAGAAATGTCCCATTAAAATAACATCAAATTGATCAGAAATACAGTGTAGACATTGTTAATGTTGTAAATGGCTATTGTAGCTGGAAACGGCTGATTTTTAATGGAATATCTACATAGGCGTACAGAGGCCCATTATCAGCAACCATCAGTACTGTGTTCTAATGGCACGTTGTGTTTGCTAATCCAAGTTTATCATTTTAAAAGGCTAATTGATCATTAGAAAGCCCTTTTGCAATTATGTTAGCACAGCTGAAAAATGTTGTGCTGATTAAAGAAGCAATAAAACTGGCCTTCTTGAGACTAGTTGAGTATCGGGAGCATCAGCAATTGTGGGTTCGATTACAGGCTCAAAATGGCCAGAAACAAATAACTTTCTCGTCAGTCTATTCTTGTTCTGAGAAATGAAGGCTATTCTATGCGAGAAATTGCCAACAAACTGAAGATCTTGAACAATGCTGTGTACTACTCCCTTCACAGAACCCAGCAAACTGTCTCTATCCAGAATAGAAAGAGGAGTGGGAGGCCCCGGTGCACAACTGAGCAAGAGGACAAATACATTAGAGTGTCTAGTTTGAGAAACAGACGCCTCACAGGTCCTCAACTGGCAGCTTCATTAAATAGTACCTGCAAAACACCAGTCTCAATGTCAACAGTGAAGAGGCGACTCCATGGTGCTGACTTTCTAGGCAGAGTTGCAAAGAAAAAGCCATATCTCAGACTGCCCATCTTAATATTTTATTTTTATTGGCCAGTCTGAGATATGGCTTTTTCTTTGCAACTCTGCTTAGAAGGTCAGCATCCCGGAGTCGCCTCTTCACTGTTGACGTTGAGACTGGTGTTTTGCGGGTACTATTTAATGAAGCTGCCAGTTGAGGACCTGTGAGGCATCTGTTTCTCAAACTAGACACTCTAATGTATATGTCCTCTTGCTCAGTTGTGCACTGGGGCCTCCCACTCCTCTTTATATTCTGGTTAAAGCCAGTTGGCTCTGTTCTGTGAAGGGAGTAGTTCACAGCGTTGTACGAGATCTTCAGTTTCTTGGCAATTTCTCGCATGGAATAGCCTTAATTTCTCAGAACAAGAATAGACTGACGAGTTTCAGAAGAAAGTTATTTGTTTCTGGCCATTTTGAGCCTGTAATCGAACCCACAATTGCTGATGCTCCAGATACTCAACTAGTCTCAAGAAGGCCAGTTTTATTGCTTCTTTAATCAGCACAACAGTTTTCAGCTGTGCTAACATAATTGCAAAAAGGTTTTCTAATGATCAATTAGCCTTTTAAAATGATAAACTTGGATTAGCAAACACAACCTGCCATTGGAACACAGGACTGATGGTTGCTGATAATCGGCCTCTGTATGCCTATGTGGATATTCCATTAAAAATCAGCCGTTTCCAGCTACAATAGCCGTTTACAACATTAACAATGTCTACACTGTATTTCTGATCAATTTGATGTTATTTTAGTGGACAAAAAAATTGCTTTTCTTTGGAAAACAAGGACATTTCTAAGTGACCCCAAACTTTTGAACGGTAGTGTATAATAAACTATATTGGCAAGAGGACATTATCGAGAGGATTTAACATGTTTTTACCGCCACGTCCCTTGGTCTAAAGTTGATAGTAGAAAATTGATTTTATTGGTTCAGTCAGGAGAGCACCAAACCCTTTGATAACCTGTATGATCCTCCTCTCCTGTAGGGTATCACTGGAAACGATGGTCGCTCCGGACCCTCAGGCCCCTCTGGAGCCAGAGGTCAGCCTGGAGTTATGGGATTTCCCGGACCCAAAGGACCTGCTGTGAGTAAACAAACAAACATACAAACAAATAAACAAAAGCATTCATTTTACTCCTAAATGTTTTTTACTAATTTTTTATTTTCACCACACCACAGTTGGTCTATTTCATATACTGAACACATGTAAATGAATGGTAGGGGTGGTGTATTCAGTGTGTTTCTGACTGAATACAATATGAATGTACAGTAAGAGTAAACATCGTCTGTCTCTTCCCTACAGGGTGACAACGGCAAGCCCGGTGAGAGAGGAGAAGCCGGAGCTGTTGGGGGTGTTGTAAGTGAAGCTATACTAAAACCTCAAACAGATAGGATCAATCATTCCAACTGCTGTGAGGGCTCGAGAGAGAAGTAGACTTACATGGACTCAATAAAACATGGACTCAATAAAACATGGACTTAAGTCAACATTTTTTTACTTGTCCATGTTGAATCAACTTATCTCAAGTCTGAAGAGGGCCCTGTGTCTATAGGCCACTGTGTGTGTTCATGGGTTTGTAATATATGGCATCTTCTTGTTTCTAGGGCGCCCCTGGCAAAGATGGTGACTCTGGTGCTCCCGGACCCCAAGGCCCTGCTGTAAGTATTGACACATCTCTTTTTTAGAATGAATGGCACATTTAGCCACATACATCTACAGTACATTGACACATTCTGTACAGTCCCTTGTAATGAAATTGAGACACATACTGTATGAATTCATTCATGAACCACCCTAACACCATACTGTATGAATTCATTCATGAACCACCCTAACACCATACTGTATGAATTCATTCATGAGCCACCCTAACACCATACTGTATGAATTCATTCATGAGCCACCCTAACACCATACTGTATGAATTCATTCATGAGCCACCCTAACACCATACTGTATGAATTCATTCATGAGCCACCCTAACACCATACTGTATGAATTCATTCATGAGCCACCCTAACACCATACTGTATGAATTCATGGATGAACCACCCTAACACCATACTGTATGAATTCATGAATGAACCACCCTAACACCATACTGTATGAATTCATGAATGAGCCACCCTAACACCATACTGTATGAATTCATGAATGAACCACCCTAACACCATACTTAAACAGTGCACTGATATACTGTACGTTTCCCGTTTGTGTTCCAGGGAGCTCAAGGAGAGAAAGGAGAGGGAGGCCCCGCTGGTCCTAACGGATTCCAGGTAGGTTACCAACCACAATTCTTACCTCTGCTATCATTACTTGTCTATATATTCACATTTTCAACCAATAATGTTACATGTTGACCTGAAATCTCAACCATACCTCTCCCATCATCCCTATAGGGTCTGCCTGGAACTCAGGGAGCTGCTGGTGAGCCTGGAAAGGCTGGTGATCAGGTAAGTAGTGCCTTGGATCACAGAGATCCAGTAGGTTCCTGATGTAATTCTATGCCCTCCATGACATATTGAATTGATGGACAATTAGACCCCTATAAGCTGCTGGAAAGCACATTTCTACCCCAAAAGGAAATTGTTGAAGTTAATCGACACTATCTGCAATTACAGTAATATTTAGCAAAATGTTGCTGTAAAGAGGGCTATAAATGCATTTGATTGATTGGTGATTGATTGATTGCTCCCATCTCCTCTGTCGCTCCACAGGGTGTACCTGGTGAGGTTGGAGGTCCTGGCCCCAGTGGATCCAGAGTAAGTACAGCATATTACAGCAGATGGATCTGAACTCCCGGATCTATCTCTAAGCTGCCTGTTCAGTAGCTGTTATTAAGACAATGATGTTTACAGATTTATCCCTAATAAGAAAGGAGGCGCAGAGAAAAGGGGCGGAGAGCGAGAAGGAGAACCCAGAAACGCACAAACCCCGGGGAGGAAGAAGAAAAGCAAAGGGGGAGGGAGCCGGGAAGAGAAAAGAGAGAAGCCAAGGAAGAGAATAGCAAAAGAAGGAAGAGAAGAGAATAGTGGTCCACGAGGAGAACGAAGGGCAGGAAGAGAGAGAAGGAAGAAGAAGACGAGAAGAAGAGCAGCGAAAAGAGAAGAGAGGGAAGAAGAGCGAGGGCAGAACGAACGGAGAGGCGAAGAGAAGCAAAGAGAAGAGGGACGAAGAGAAGGACGACGGAAAGACAAGAAGACGCAGCGAGCTCACCCTAATGGAAACCCGAATCAGGAATCACCTAAGCTCCCCGTCGAAACTCATCCTAACCGATTCTACTCTCCTATTCTTCTCTCCTACTCCTCTCTTCTCCCTCCCTATCCTTCTCCCCTCTCCTCCACCTCCACCTCCTCAGGGTGAAAGAGGTTTCCCAGGTGAGCGTGTGGCCCGGCCCCGACGGCCCCAATGGGACCTCGGGGGAAGCCATGGTTTCTCCTGGGTAACGATGGTGCTAGGGGTAAGAGAACACTGGAGAACACAGATACAGATGACATCATTGATGAAATAATTCAGTTGGTCCTTATGTTGATCCAAGGACTGAGAATTACATTAGGCCCCATACAACCATATCATTTGTCCTTTTCTTATTTATTTTTGCACCGCAACAAATATTTTGATGGATCTAACATTTTTGTACATATATTATTTAGACAAACAAAGCAAAAGGAGGTTTAATGTGTGTGTCTCTCTGTCTACCATCTCTGTTCCTTTTTGTTTATATTTTATTTTGGTACAATGCTATAGGAGGTTTAATATCTCTCTGTCTACCATCTATATTGGTTTAATGTCTCTCTGTCTACCATCTCTATTGGTTTAATGTCTCTCTGTCTACCATCTCTATTGGTTTAATGTCTCTCTGTCTACCATCTCTATTGGTTTAATGTCTCTCTGTGTACCATCTCTATTGGTTTAATGTCTCTCTGTGTACCATCTCTATTGGTTTAATGTCTCTCTGTCTACCATCTCTATTGGTTAGATGTCTCTCTGTCTACCATCTCTATTGGTTAGATGTCTCTCTGTCTACCATCTCTATTGGTTTAATGTCTCTCTGTCTACCATCTCTATTGGTTTAATGTCTCTCTGTCTACCATCTCTATTGGTTAGATGTCTCTCTGTCTACCATCTCTATTGGTTTAATGTTTCTCTGTCTACCATCTATATTGGTTTAATGTCTCTCTGTCTACCATCTCTATTTGTTAGATGTCTCTCTGTCTACCATCTCTATTGGTTTAATGTCTCTCTGTCTACCATCTCTATTGGTTAGATGTCTCTCTGTCTACCATCTCTATTGGTTTAATGTCTCTCTGTCTACCATCTCTATTGGTTTAATGTCTCTCTGTCTACCATCTCTATTGGTTTAATGTCTCTCTGTCTACCATCTCTATTGGTTAGATGTCTCTCTGTCTACCATCTCTATTGGTTTAATGTCTCTCTGTGTACCATCTCTATTGGTTTAATGTCTCTCTGTCTACCATCTCTGTTGGTTTAATGTCTCTCTGTCTACCATCTCTATTGGTTTAATGTCTCTCTGTCTACCATCTCTATTGGTTTAATGTCTCTCTGTCTACCATCTCTATTGGTTTAATGTCTCTCTGTCTACCATCTCTATTGGTTTAATGTCTCTCTGTCTACCATCTCTATTGGTTTAATGTCTCTCTGTCTACCATCTCTATTGGTTTAATGTCTCTCTGTCTACCATCTCTATTGGTTTAATGTCTCTCTGTCTACCATCTCTATTGGTTTAATGTCTCTCTGTCTACCATCTCTATTGGTTTAATGTCTCTCTGTCTACCATCTCTATTGGTTTAATGTCTCTGTCTACCATCTCATTGGTTAATGTCTCTGTCTACCATCTCTATGGTTTAATGTCTCTGTCTACATCTTGGTTTATGTGCTCTGTCTAGCACGTTGTCAGGGTGAGACTGGTCTGGAGGCACATGAGGGTATGGGACTCCAGTCTGACCGGTGTCCCGGAAGAGGTATGGCTCTGGTAGTGGACAAGGAGTTGCTCATGGAGAGTAATGAGATTTTGATGAAGTTTTGTCCCAAGGCCACGGTTGGTTCCAGTAAATGACGTGATGCGTCGGTTTGACTGACCATCGTGACCACGGTACTCCCCTGGTGACTCATGGTAGAAGGGTGAGTAGCCAAAAAGCAGTTTGGATTACACGGTTGTTACCCAGTCAAGGTGATTACAGTATGGTTTGATTACCCAGTAAACGGTTTGATTACCCAGTAAACGGTTTGATTACCCAGTAAATGGTTTGATTACCCAGTAAACAGTTTGATTAAACAAGTGAGCTAAAAAGCCTGATGGAAGGATGTTTGAGAAACTCAGTAAAGAAGAATGGTCAATACTTGACGAGAAACGTAACCGAAAGGATGAACAGAAAGAGAGCAAAGGCGAGAAGAGCAGAAGCAGAGCACAACGAGCAAGAGACACGCAGCAGGACCAGAGACAGAGGAAACGACCAGAGAAGGACAGAAGAGAAAGAGAACGAAGAGAAAAAAGAGACAAGAGAGGAAGAGAGCAGAAAGAAGAGCAAAAAGAGAGCAAAAGAAGCAGAAGCAGACCACGGAAAGACGAAAGGCAAAAGGAAGAACAGACGAGCACAAGGACGAAAGAAAGCGTCGACAAAATCCGCTCTACAAAACCGAAACGCTAAACCGCAGCACACATCAAGCCCGCACAGCCTCTCTCGTCCCCTCTCCCCATCATATCTCCCTCCTTCCCCCTCCCCTCCTCCCCACGTCCTCCCCTATTCTCCCTCCTCTCCCCTCCTCTCCCTCCTCTTTTTCTCTCTGTGTTTAGGGTGAGGGTGGTCTTGGCGGCCCCCCTGGTCCCACTGGAGGTCGCGGCTCCCCTGTGAGTAACTTCCAATGACATACTACATGCTCACCTGCTTATGACAGCGGTGTAATGCGCACATTGATGGCATGCCATTTAACTTTATCACACTGAACAAAGCACATTGATGAAATGCCTGTGTATGATCCACTATTTTGAAAAAAAATCAGCTTTTTAATGTATAATTTTTTCATTCCCAACCTCTGACCCTGTGTGTTTTCTACCCATAATCCTCTAGGGCGAGCGTGGTGAGCATGGTGCCCCTGGACCTGCTGGATTCGCTGGACCCCCTGTGAGTAGCATCATCACCCAGTCAGGTCCAGTCCAGAACACTCTGAAGCTGGTTACAGTTCTGTTTCCAGGTGGAGTCCTATAACTCAGCCCTGACCCAGCCCTGACCCAGCCCCGTCCTTTCTTCTTCTCTGTCCCCGCTTCAGGGCGCTGACGGTCAGCCCGGCAACAAGGGAGAGACTGGTAACAATGGCCCCAAGGGTGATGCTGGTGCTCCTGGGCCCGGTGGACCGGTTGGTGCTCCTGGACCTCAGGTATGGCTATCTGAGGCTGTCCTATAAACTTTAACTCCTGAACCTACAGATTTGTTTGAACTACAAGCTCAAATCTCAAATCTCCAAGACAGATAGAAATATACATTTTGCTGTATGCTGTTTGTTCCTGAATCAACCAATTCAGGAATAGTTTGCAGATATACAGGACAAGTTACTTTTAGCTAGCTAACAGGCCACCCTTGTATATCCTTAATGTACTGTAATCCAGTGACCGGTTGAAATAGTCTCTCACCATTAGGAGAAGGTGCTGAGGACTGACTAGGTGGCCTAACTCCCTGCTGTTTGTGTCCTCAGGGTCCTGCTGGTAATGCTGGTACTAAAGGAACTCGTGGTGCCCCTGGGTCCCCTGTAAGAACTTTAAACTCCTCCTCAAATCATTCATAACAACACTAGCTTTTAATTGCTTTAAACTGAATAAAAATGTAAAGTATGTTTTTTTTTAATGAAAGCTGATCTGTATTCCTGTGTGTGCGTGTGTGTGTGTGTGTGTGTGTGTGTGTGTGTGTGTGTGTGTGTGTGCGTGTGCGTGATCATGTCCATAGGGTGCTTCTGGTATGCCTGGTCCTAGTGGAAGAGTTGGCCCTCCTGGTGGAAGTGTAAGGTCACCTTTGTAGCTCCTCATCTACTCACCAATCAATCAAACAGGCCCATTCAGGCACACTGAAACATATCAAGTTTGGCTTTTGAGTTAAAAATCCTTAACTCACACACTGTAATACTTAACAAATGAGCTCTAAACAAACTCCCCTCATCTCCTAAATGTTTTCAGGGAGCCCCCGGATCCCCAGGCCCCCCCGGCCCCGCTGGTAAAGAGGGACAGAAGGGTGGACGTGGTGAAACTGGTCACGCTGGTCGCCCCGGTGAGGCTGGAGCCGCCGGACCTCCAGGATCCTCAGGACCATCTGGAGCTAAGGGTAACGATGGCCCAATGGTAAGTACAGAGCAATAAACATATAAACAACAACAACAGCAATAAACAAACAGAGCAAAACATCAAGGATGAAGTGCTGAAGCGATGGAGGGATGGAGGGATGGAGCGATGGAGGGATGGGATGGATGGATGGATGGAGCGATGGAGGGATGGAGGGATGGAGCGATGGAGGGATGGAGCGATGGAGGGATGGAGGGATGGATGGATGGATGGAGGGATGGAGGGATGGAGCCATGGAGGGATTGAGGGATGGAGGGATGGAGGGATGGAGGGATGGAGGGATGGAGGGATGGATGGATGGAGGGATGGAGGGATGGATGGATAGAGGGATGGATGGATGGAGCGATGGAGGGATGGAGGGATGGGGGATGGATGGATGGAGGGATGGATGGATGGAGGGATGGATGGATGGAGGGATGGATGGATGGAGGGATGGATGGATGGAGGGATGGAGTGATGGAGCGATGGAGGGATGGATTAATATATAAAATAATACATCCAAATATGTAATGCTACATAATGTAGTAAAGTTTAAACCATGGTGATGCTTCCCTTCATAAGGCTTGTTCTGGTTCTCCCTGCTGCATTGAAGAATCTGTCATCTTTGCCTCCGTCTGTCCCTTTTCTCCAGGGAGCCCCAGGAACCCCCGGACCCGGAGGTCTTGCTGGACAGCGTGGTATTGTAGGGGGCCCAGGAGGAAGGGGACCCAGCGGTAGCCCAGGAGTACCAGGACCAGCTGTGAGTGTTCCCATCAACAGCACCCCCCCCCCCACCCCACCCCACCCCTCTCGACATATTACTATTTAACGGCGGCAGGTAGCTATTTAAGAGCGCCAGGTAGCCTAGCGGTTAAGAACATTGAGCCAGTAACCGAAAGGTCGCTTGTTCGAATCCCTGAGCTGACTAGGTGAAAAATATTTTGATGTGTCCTTGAGCAAGGCACTTAAACCTAATTGCTCCTGTAAGTTGCTCTGGATAAGAGCGTCTACCAAAAGTCTTACCTCACAACTCAAATTAGCTTTATTATTTTATTAAGTTTTCGCATGGCTTTCTTTGTCTCTACTCCCAAAGCCTAAGAGTCTTAACCCTTGAGCTGTCCCTTGTCCTCTCTCAGGGGGAGCCCGGTAAGCAGGGACCTAGCGGCCTCGTCGGTGAGCGTGGATCCCCTGGCCCCATGGGACCCCCTGGATTGTCTGGTGCACCCGGTGAAGCTGGTCGTGAGGGTTCCACTGGTCACGATGGTGTTGCCGGTCGCGATGGACCCCCAGGCTCCAAGGTAAGCCTCTACTATCAAACCACGTCTTACTCTATCATGACACTGCTGTTATAAACTGCTGCTGGATAACAGAATGACAAACTCAGGGCTCTATTCAATCCGCATCGATGAAGTTCAACATTACAGCGTGATTGAAATTTAAAGGCAATGTTCCCGCTTTAGCATTCAAGGTAAACGCTGCACATGTCAGCTCAAATGGGAATTACTATACATTTCTATTGCGCAATCTGTAACACTTCCACTTTACTTATTGAATAGAGCCCTTACTGTTGTTGGTTTATGTAGAGCTCTTCCAGGCGCTCTTTTCCAGCGCTTTACAATGTAAGGAAGGAAACTCCAACCTCATGGCTCTTTGTCCCTGTGTGTGTGTGTTCATTGCAGGGTGACCGTGGTGAGAATGGTCATGCCGGTTCCCCTGGTGCTCCCGGACCTCCCGGTGCCCCCGGTCCCTCTGGTGCTTCTGGCAAGACTGGTAGCCGCGGAGAGACTGTAAGTACCTCTTCTCATCAATTTAGGGGTCGGCTATAGTATCTCTGTAACTTTCCTTAGAAACATTTTTGAAGTTTTGGACATTTGTTGGACTAGCTTACAATGTTACCTTGACATACCCTGAGATTCATCAATGTTACCCTGACATACCCTGAGATTCATCAATGTAGAATATAACATAATTATCCTTGATTCTCTCTCTACTCTCTCTCTGTTCATGTGCTCGTCTGTCTGCTCTTCGCTATATCGACTGAGGAGCGCGAGGAAGAGATAGAGAGTAGAGAGGAGTATGGATAGCGAGAGATGCGAGGGCGAGAGAGATGCAGGTACGATATAAGAGCTGACTGAGATATCAGTCTACCATCTTCTTGCTATGCTCGGTACATTTTTCTCTAAGCAGTCTTGCTTCTATATTACTTTAAGATTCTTCTTCTCTCTCTCTCTATTTCTTCTATTCCTTCTCTCTCTGTTCCTTCCTGTCTTCCTATCTCATCTCTCTCTCCTTTCGTTATTTCCTTCTCCTCCTCTCTCGCTTCTTTATTTATCTCTCTCTCTCTCTCTCTCTCTCTCTCTCTCTCTCTCTCTCTCTCTCTCTCTCAGGGTCCTGCTGGTCCCGCTGGCCCTAACGGTCCTGCTGGTGGTCGAGGTGGTCTTGTAAGTTTTCTGTCAGCATTTTGTCATCCATCCACCTCAACCTAATGTACTGTAAGGATGTCCACTGTCTGTGCTGATTACCTGTTTGACCCTTGACCTGTGTCTGTAGGGCCCTGCTGGTGCTCGTGGAGACAAGGGAGAGGCTGGAGAGAGTGGAGAGAGAGGCCACAAGGGACACAGAGGTTTGAGCGGCATGCCCGGTCTTCCTGGACCCCCTGTGAGTACCAGCCTTCCAATATCATCCAACTCATGCTGTTACAGTTAGCTGCTTCTCTTTATGTTGAGGCACATTGTCTCTGGGTTGAAGATCTGTTGTTCTCTTTGCTTTAACATATATAATGTGTGATGAATGTGATATAATGTGTGATGAATGTGATGAATGTGATGAATGTGATGAATGTGATGAATGTGATGAATGTGATTAATGTGATGAATGTGATGAATGTGATGAATGTGATGTATCTGGTTCCAGGGACCCCCTGGAGAGTCTGGGCCTGCTGGACTTAACGGACCTTCTGGACCCCGAGTGAGTATGACACCGACTCCCAGTTCATCAATAGAACATGGTTGATAATGTAATATAGGTTACACATTGGCCCTGCACTCCACAACACTCTTCAGTTGGATAACATTGTTCATAGAATGATCCTGTATGTCATGTTGTGTTCTTAACCTTAACAAGTTACACACATCAGATTATGCAGGGATATCTTATTTATTCCTTTTTTAAAGTGATCGCTGGAATGGAAGGAATATGACCTCTGATGAAGGCCATTGATGAAGGCTGAGGAGTTCAAGTTGTTAATAGTTGTTTAAATAATGATGAGCGAGCATTGCGGCTTTTCCTGTTCAAGGTATTTTACTTCTAAAGGAGTTGTTGTTCTGTGTCTGTCCTACAGGGACCCCACGGTTCTTCTGGTTCCACTGGTAAGGATGGCATGAACGGTCTGCCTGGACCCATCGGACCCCCCGGACCCCGTGGTCGCAACGGAGAGATGGGACCTGCTGTAAGTCTCAAACTGACCTCCACATTTACTGTGCACACACACATATCCTCACACACATAGCACAAGCCTTTGATGCCAGATTTGACTCCTTTCTGTCTTCTTCTTTCCTACCCAGGGTGCTCCTGGTTCTCCTGGTCTGCCCGGACCCCCAGGTCCCGCTGGTGGCGGCTTCCATGTCGCACCAATCTACAACCAGGAGAAGGGACCTGACCCCATGCGTGGAGGAGGAGGATACCACTACCGTGCTGATGAGCCTGACATGATGAACGACCGTGACATGGAGGTGGACACCACCCTGAAGAGCCTCAGCCAGAAGGTTGAGAACATCCGCAGCCCTGAGGGAACCCAGCAGAACCCCGCCCGCATGTGCCGTGACATCAGGATGTGCCACCCCGAGTGGAAGAGCGGTAAGTTCCAGGCTCAGTCCAGCCCATGCCCCAGACAGACACTGGTTATATATATAGGCATGCTGTGATCAGGGATTGTTTGGTTGGTTGATTGATTGATTGATTGGTTGATTGGTTGGTTGGTTGAATGATTTAATGATTTAATGTATTCAATATTTAAAAAGGAAACAGCCAAAGACATCAAGGAGCTAGGAGCCTACATGAAAAACTCTATCAATATAATAATGTCTACTTTATTTGACTTCTATTGTCACCTTAAGCACCTTGATGGCTTATATTCTGTTCTCTCTTAAACCCACAGGCCAGTACTGGGTGGACCCCAACCAGGGCTCTCCTCTGGATGCTGTCCAGGTCTTCTGCAACATGGAGAATGGAGAGACCTGCGTCTACCCATCCCAGGACACCGTCCCCATGAAGAACTGGTATACCAGCAAGAACATCAGGGAGAAGAAGCACATCTGGTTCTCAGAGTCTATGGATAATGGCTTCCAGGTAAGGACCATTCAGCGTAACCAGGTGACAAGGACTCCAATCAGAGCTTGAGTAGAAACGACTCAGACTTACACTCAAACTTGGATTGCTAGGGACATGGAACTTGGACTCAAGGTTTCGTGACCTGCCTTCACTAAAAAACTGCCTTCATGATACTAACCCCTCCCTCCCTCCCACCCCCTTCCTCTCCTCTCCAGTTCCACTATGGTAGCGAGGGCTCCAACCCAGAGGACGTCAACATCCAGCTGACCTTCATGCGCCTGATGTCCAACGAGGCGTCCCAGAATGTCACGTACCACTGCAAGAACAGCATCGCCTACATGGACGAGGCCACGGGCAACCTGAAGAAGGCCCTGCTGCTCCAGGGAGCCAACGAGATCGAGATCAGAGCCGAGGGCAACAGCCGCTTCACATACACCGTCAGCGAGGACGGCTGCACGGTGAGACACCTACTACTACTGTCCACTTTTACTGTCCTCTATGCCCTTCTCTTATCATTCCACTCCCTTCTGCTGTCTGTTATTATATTCTCTCTTCTACTCTCGTCTTTTACTGTCTTCTAATATCTTCTACCTCTCTTCTACTCTCCTCTATTCTCTTCTTCTACTCTCCTCTATTCTCTTCTTCTACTCTCCTCTGTTCTCTTCTTCTACTCCCTTGTCACTTTTATATATCTCTCTCTTTTTTGTTTTGAATTTAAGATAGTGTGAAATCCATGTTATGGAACTAAAGATGGATCAAGTGACTACATAAAATAGAGGTTATATAGAGGTTAGTGTGTCATCAATCATCTTTACTAGGACTGGTTTCTGATTCTGACCTATGCGCTCTCTCTCTCTCTCTCTCTCTCTCTCTCTCTCTCTCTCTCTCTCTCTCTCTCTCTCTCTCTCTCTCTCTCTCTCTCTCTCTCGCTCTCTCTTTCTCTCTCTCCACAGTCACATACTGGCACATGGGGCAAGACAGTCATCGACTACAAGACATCAAAAACATCTCGCCTGCCCATCATTGACATCGCTCCTATGGACGTTGGTGCACCTGATCAGGAGTTTGGCGTCGAAGTTGGCCCCGTCTGCTTCGTATAAAAACAAAAAGAAATATGGACATGAAATTGTTTGTTTTTTCTAGCAGTCATCTCTAATTCTATTTTCTATGCGTTACCTACAAACTCATTCGGCTGCCACTGGTCCACGAGCTTAAAACTACTCTGAAGACGTCGTTTGCATGTTTTTGATTCTGAAGAAAATAAATTTGGGGGACTGCTACTTCAACCGAAACCTACAACAATCAAGGACACTTACAAAATAATATTTTGTTTCCACTGGCAACAAGAAAATAATTGAAAGTTGTAACGTGTAAAATCCCCCCTGGAGAAACACAATGAGATACAGGTGACTTTTTAGCCGTTTTTTACCACTGCGGAAGGACAATGAAAGCACAAATGCTATGTACCATTTTCTGGTATTAAATAAATCTTAAAAAATGACAGTGAAGTGTCTTCTTGTTCTAAATTCATGACAGAAAAACACCTGAAAATTCACATTAATTTTGAATAGATTAATGGCTACCTCAGAGAAGAAGTCCATGTTACCCAAAATGTTTCACAAAGCCTAGGGACGATTTTACACTACAGGAATATTATTGGATAGAAAACAACTGTCAAAGGTGCTATAATATGAACTCATGAGGTCCAGTTATTGGCGTTTGTTAGAGAAATCCTTTCCTGTCATAATTAGCTAACAACCCTCGGATCTTTGGTGCTAACAAATCAACACATTGTCTTCCTTGTTGTCAGGGTAGTACAATTGTTTTATTTGTCAAGTGTTGGTTAATTAACAGTTCTGAAATATGATTTACAGTGGATATAATGCATGCCAATGGTGTCTGGTGTGGATTTAAGCAAGTGGTTTTGTTTTTAGTTGTATTTCATTTCCACACCTGATGTTTGTGTCCACCGTCTATGTTACCCTTGATATTTTCCCTATCACTGCACCACTAAAGCACCACTCAAACCCCTCCTGATGTTTGTGTTTTGTTTGTTGAAGAACAATTTTTTAGTGAAGGTTTTCTGAAAAAGGGAAAGAGTTTTTAAAAATCTGAGAAGCAGACACACTTTCATGGTTTTGAAATAAAGAGAATCTGTACTGATGTTGTACATGTATAATAAATCAAGATGTTTTTAATTATTTGGATGCTGAATAAAGCATGTGAAGTGGTCTACTTAATGTTTGACATGTCACCTTGGTTTTCTCCAATCATCTCACATCAAAACAACAGACAATTCAGCGACAGTGGCTTATTATAAAAATGTAATCTTTTATATGTTATTTTTTGGCTGTTGGTAAAATAATCTCCCAAATAACATAAAAGTGTAACTTGCATTAAAATCTAATATTGTAGGCTTATAGTCAAACACATAATTCCAAAAAAGCCAATGTTGGTCCCATTCTTGGGAGATATAATATTGAGGCATTAACCAGTGTAGCCCTAGTTATTACAACTGACTAGATGTCTTCCTCACCAAACCCTGATGAGTGGGACTTGTAGATCAGATTGGTAAGGAGCAATTGGGATAAACATTGACGTGCTATTAGGCATAGTTGTTTTGGTTGAAATAAACTAACCATTTTCTAATTTCCAATGACACAATAATTACGCAATAATGAATATTAGTTGACTATAATAATCATCACCATCTGCACAGTCAGCCACACATTTTGACTGTATCTTCTGAGCCTTGTCACCGTTTTGTTGGGATACTAGAATTAGCCATGTAGCCTTGTACTGACCCCTGGAGGTGTTCCGTGGAACAGTTTTGAATTAGACTGGGCCACTGTGTGGGCTACTGTCTGTCTACCTCACACGGCTCTATGTTCTACCTACTGCAGGTCTACGTGTTTTTGTTTTCTGCCACAGACTTGAAGTTCTCCAGTTACATTCCAGAAGGATATCCTCCAAACCAGGCTTGGCGCTACACATTCACAAGTCCAGTCACAAAACGAAGACATGCTGAAACGTGTGGATTCTGTGTATGCGATTCTACTACAATGCCCTTTTATAGATCATCTGTATTTTTCTTTTGAACATGAAGCGCAGATGACACGCGGAGTTTTTATTCTGTTATTTTACTTTTTTCAAGAGGATTTGTCTTCCTAAAGACGATGTGGATGAAGTGGATAAAAGTCGATGCTGCCTCTTTGTGGTTAACCTGTAATTTGTAGGCTATTTGTTGTGCTTTGCTTTTTTTTATTGTGTTCCTAAATTGCTACTCTTTGAAAGTAGAATGGTAAGTACTAGGCGCGTCATTGCCAGCTCTCCTCTGATTAACAAGAACTCGATGGACAAATGTTATTACATGGTAATTACATAATTATTACAAAGGCTATTTGGTGATGGAGATGACCATTAAAACAATAATGGAGTCGGTTAGGGGTTTTATTTAGAAAAAACATTGAATATATTATTTAAGTTAAGCAAAATTCTACCTCTACAAAAAAATGCATATTGGACTCCAAACCTATGGCAGAATGACTCAAATTAAGTCACGCTTAAATACTTCAACACAAATTCAGTGGTAACAGTCACTCAAAACTCAGTCACTCCAAAATATTTGCAATCAAAGGATAATGTGATAAAGAAAGAGGATAAAGAATTAATCATGTGAAGAGAAAACGTCTCAAATCCCACAGCAAACCAGCAGCAAACCCAGAAGTATGAATTGTTTGGATGGCTTCATTTCCTGTTGGAACAAAAACAATTTTCTAAAAAATAATCCATGTATACATTTCATAATCATAATTTGTTGTTGTACAGTTTATTCAGACAAATGTATTCCACTGTGTTACTGGGTAATGTGTCAGTGTTGATTTCTCTGCGAAAACAAGTGAAGAATTTACCATTATGGTTGAATTTAATAGCAATGATTTAGCGTTTAGTAAAAAATAAATCACATTCTGTTTCCTAAACAGTTTATTGCTAGTTTAGTGAATGTAATAATGTGTTTATAACATACATGCATTCAATAAAATACAACAGTAAATTGTATGGCAATATTAACCATCAACCCCAATATTAAAGGTAGACTCAGCGATAAGAAGTAGATGCAGAAAGTAAACAGCATAGTGGGTCAATTTCCGCAACAACTAGGGGGCCGATTCAGACTTAGGTCATTTACGCCTTTCCTACGCACTTCTCAGTATTTGGTATTCAGACTTAACTTATTCAGACTTACCTCTGCAGGTGTGGCTATTTTGCGCGTTCTGAATACATTTCATTCAACTGCTGAAAACCCTCCCACTTTCTGGGCAACAGATTATCTTGTGGAGTTTTCATTCAATAGGTGTTTCAGTTCATTTATCTTAAGCCATCCTTTTAAATACGGTGTAACTTTTAGTTGAATTGTGGCGACAGACTCACTAGAATATATTGAGAAAACGGGTTCAGAATATTAGGGATCAATGAAAGAAAGACATCTAAATATATGCATATTCATCTACATTTCAGCACCAATTGGTAGATAAAAAAATTCTCTGATCTTGTAGATTATTTAGATTTAGGAAAGTATTTATGAATCATAAAAAAACAGGTCTGGAGAGTCTTTATGCACAAAATAAAGAAAACTGTGGTTTGATTCATTCTGAAAATTGCCACATTCAGTTCTTCAATCCATGGTAATGTTGGTAGATTAGTGTACATAGAATTATAACAGGGAGAATAGTGTAGAATAGTAGGCTATACCCTTGTCTATTGCCTACACTAACCATGGACCTGTGTGAAGACAGCCAAGTATTGTGCCATGTGTTGGGTCGGGATCAAACTGTTATGGCTTGGTCTGCTCTCCGCTCCATAACGATTGAATTAGCCTACATGCCATATTTTTTTATATTATCAAGTGTTACTAATGATCCTCAGCAACAACCACACGGCCGTGACAGAGTTTACATAGAAAGCAAATGAATGTAAACGAAACAATGGAATGAAATTGAATGATAATGTAGGCTACACCAACTGAAGGGAACTAACAGTAAATTGGCAGTTGAATATGTGTTATTAGGCATACTGACGTCCATACTGTTAGTGGCTAATATTTAACATAATAGAAACAGGAAACAGAGAAACTGGGGGTAGCTTATAATTAAGACATTCCAGAGTGCCCATCCCTGCAAGTTAAAAGGCTGTACAATTTAAATTCTGCGTAATGGCACAGCATTTCATCAACCTTACTGTGGGAAAGTTGATATGTTGATATGCTTCAGTTTGTTGCCATATGACTGGTTTCACATTTGTCTCCAGCGATTATAAGGTAAAATAGATCTAAAACAATTGTCATTTATATTTACAATTCCCTTATCCAAACGGATTACTCATTTACCTAGCTCTTATCAATAGCTCTTAACAAGTTGTAAATTACAGTGCATGGAGAATGGTGTTATTTCTATAGGGAAAAATAAAGTAGTTGCGTGTCAAGGTGGTGGAATTATGAGGGAATTAAATCAAGGTCAGAATACAGCGTATCTGTAGACACACACCTTCATTTATTCAATCTCCACCCAAAATGAATAGCAGGTAAATAGCATGCTATTCTCATGCTTAAATTAAAGGTCAGAATACGCATAGAGAAAAAAAGTGCACAAAATGGGGATTAGGTTCCATTTACGGGCGCTCAATTTGGGGTCGGAATTTTCCCCTAAGAATGTTGAAGCCTCTCAACCTCTCAGCTGTTTTGGTGCCCTGGCTACCACGCTGAAGCGAACCCGTGCACATGTGCAGATACTGCGTGTGACTGTGTGAGAGCGAACAGTGAAGTCTTGCATCTTGCAGATCTCAATATCTGCAGTGCTGCTCTTGGAACGTCATTTCGCTGTGTCTACCTTTAACTGCCTTTATACCTGACTTGGAATTTACTGGTACACTTTGAAGTTCCTCCACTAGGTGGTATAGACCAAATATCATAATCCAAGTGGAATATTGTTCTCTCTCTCTCTCTCTCTCTCTCTTTCTCTGCTCGCTCTCTACTCTCTCTTTCTATACTCTCTCTTTCTCTCTCACTCTCTCTCTCATTAGCAGTATGTGTTCTGTGTGGAGT